ACGGTGTATTTACAGTTTAGCAAATAAGGAAAAGATTAGTCATACAAATAAGAAAAAAAGGAACCCGATGAGAGTAGTAAGAGATATTTACTGATGAGAGGTTGCAAAGGATTGATATGGTATTGTATTCGCAGTTAGGTAGCTAATAAAGCTTAATACACTCCTTATATGGGCATCATCTCACGTGACACCTTTATATGGGCATCATCTCACGTGAGGATTTTTTTCTCCCTTTGAATCAATCATCTCACGGGACACCTTTATATGGGTGCCATATCCTTTCGTAATTCCTGAATGCACGCGAGTTTGCGTGCACAGGGGGACCTGCGTGCACGTCAGCAGTTAATTACGAGTCTGGAGAAGTTTTCTAGTGCACACAGGTCCCCCTGTGTACTAGGCCCAGACCTTTTGGCCTATCTTTAGTATTAATGTTGTGGTGATGTGACATCTTTGACACCACTTAAAACTGAGGAACAGGGAGGTGTTCACAATACCCAACTTAGTATAGTAAACTTATGATATCTCTGGCTGCAGATTGACAACTCCGACGGTATTTATTTAAATCAATTTACCAATATTCGTTGAGCTAATGTTGAAGACTCTTCAGTGCTAAGGAACAAAACTAATATTTCCTTTAAGTGTGGTATGATTTCTTAAAACAAGCAATTATTTATCTTTAAAGTTGTTTAACTAGTTTGGTTCGATGGCTTAGTTGGTTGATCCGCTTGTCTACTGGCCTGAAGGCTGCGAGTTCGAACCCCAGTTGGGCCAAAATCTCAAAAACTGAAGGGCAGCCGTCACTCACCAAACTATGGTGTAAATGGTAGTGGCTCTCATTAGAGCTGCGAAAATAACACGAGTGCATATGCCTGGGGTTGCGTCCCGACTATGCTGCAGGGAAATCTGTACCGAAAGGACCGTGGCCGAACGCTACACGAAAAAGAGATTGGCCCCTCGTTCCTAGCTTGCTAGGTTCGCCATGTTGTTGTTTGGGTGTTGTTGGCAAAGGAAACTAATAATTAACGAAATAAGAACAAGTGTTAGAAGCTACCATAGAAACGCTGTCGTTGCTATGGTAATACATATTGCACTAGTGAAGTAACCGTTGGCAGCGCCTTTTTACGAAATATTATAATTACATTTTAGAGCCAGTAGAAATTGAACCGAATTATCCCTTGATGAACATTTTATTATCAATAATTGAAATGTTTACTATTTGGGATATAGTGCACACAAAATAGAACCAACTCTAAGCTAGTTGTGGGATATAGTGCACACAAAATAGAACCAACTCTAAGCTAGTTGTGGGATATAGTGCACACAAAATAGAACCAACTCTAAGCTAATTGTTGGATATAGTGCACACAAAATAGAACCAACTCTAAGCTAGTTGTAGGATATAGTGCACACAAAATAGAACCAACTCTAAGCTAGTTGTGGGATATAGTGCACACAAAATAGAACCAACTCTAAGCTAGCTGTGGGATATAGTGCACACAAAATAGAACCAACTCTAAGCTAGTTGTAGGATATAGTGCACACAAAATAGAACCAACTCTAAGCTAGCTGTGGGATATAGTGCACACAAAATAGAACCAACTCTAAGCTAGTTGTGGGATATAGTGCACACAAAATAGAACCAACTCTAAGCTAGTTGTGGGATATAGTGCACACAAAATAGAACCAACTCTAAGCTAGTTGTGGGATATAGTGCACACAAAATAGAACCAACTCTAAGCTAGTTGTGGGATATAGTGCACACGAAATAGAACCAACTCTAAGCTAGCTGTAGGATATAGTGCACACAAAATAGAACCAACTCTAAGCTAGCTGTGGGATATAGTGCACACAAAATAGAACCAACTCTAAGCTAGTTGTGGGATATAGTGCACACAAAATAGAACCAACTCTAAGCTAGCTGTGGGATATAGTGCACACAAAATAGAACCAACTCTAAGCTAGTTGTGGGATATAGTGCACACAAAATAGAACCAACTCTAAGCTAGTTGTGGGATATAGTGCACACGAAATAGAACCAACTCTAAGCTAGTTGTAGGATATAGTGCACACAAAATAGAACCAACTCTAAGCTAGTTGTAGGATATAGTGCACACAAAATAGAACCAACTCTAAGCTAGGTGTGGGATATAGTGCACACAAAATAGAACCAACTGTAAGCTAGTTGTGGGATATAGTGCACACAAAATAGAACCAACTCTAAGCTAGTTGTGGGATATAGTGCACACAAAATAGAATCAACTCTAAGCTAGCTATTTGGGATATAGTGCACACAAAATAGAACCAACTCTAAGCTAGTTGTGGGATATAGTGCACACAAAATAGAACCAACTCTAAGTTAGTTGTGGGATATAGTGCACACAAAATAGAACCAACTCTAAGCTAGTTGTGGGATATAGTGCACACAAAATAGAACCAACTCTAAGCTAGTTGTGGGATATAGTGCACACAAAATAGAACCAACTCTAAGCTAATTGTTGGATATAGTGCACACAAAATAGAACCAACTCTAAGCTTGTTGTAGGATATAGTGCACACAAAATAGAACCAACTCTAAGCTAGTTGTGGGATATAGTGCACAAAAAATAGAACCAACTCTAAGCTAGCTGTGGGATATAGTGCACACAAAATAGAACCAACTCTAAGCTAGTTGTAGGATATAGTGCACACAAAATAGAACCAACTCTAAGCTAGCTGTGGGATATAGTGCACACAAAATAGAACCAACTCTAAGCTAGCTGTGGGATATAGTGCACACAAAATAGAACCAACTCTAAGCTAGTTGTGGGATATAGTGCACACAAAATAGAACCAACTCTAAGCTAGTTGTGGGATATAGTGCACACAAAATAGAACCAACTCTAAGCTAGTTGTGGGATATAGTGCACACGAAATAGAACCAACTCTAAGCTAGCTGTAGGATATAGTGCACACAAAATAGAACCAACTCTAAGCTAGCTGTGGGATATAGTGCACACAAAATAGAACCAACTCTAAGCTAGGTGTGGGATATAGTGCACACAAAATAGAACCAACTCTAAGCTAGCTGTGGGATATAGTGCACACAAAATAGAACCAACTCTAAGCTAGTTGTGGGATATAGTGCACACAAAATAGAACCAACTCTAAGCTAGTTGTGGGATATAGTGCACACGAAATAGAACCAACTCTAAGCTAGTTGTAGGATATAGTGCACACAAAATAGAACCAACTCTAAGCTAGTTGTAGGATATAGTGCACACAAAATAGAACCAACTCTAAGCTAGGTGTGGGATATAGTGCACACAAAATAGAACCAACTGTAAGCTAGTTGTGGGATATAGTGCACACAAAATAGAACCAACTCTAAGCTAGTTGTGGGATATAGTGCACACAAAATAGAACCAACTCTAAGCTAGCTATTTGGGATATAGTGCACACAAAATAGAACCAACTCTAAGCTAGTTGTGGGATATAGTGCACACAAAATAGAACCAACTCTAAGTTAGTTGTGGGATATAGTGCACACAAAATAGAACCAACTCTAAGCTAGTTGTAGGATATAGTGCACACAAAATAGAACCAACTCTAAGCTAGTTGTGGGATATAGTGCACACAAAATAGAACCAACTCTAAGCTAGTTGTGGGATATAGTGCACACGAAATAGAACCAACTCTAAGCTAGTTGTAGGATATAGTGCACACAAAATAGAACCAACTCTAAGCTAGCTGTGGGATATAGTGCACACAAAATAGAACCAACTCTAAGCTAGCTGTGGGATGTAGTGCACACAAAATAGAACCAACTCTAAGCTAGTTGTGGGATATAGTGCACACAAAATAGAACCAACTCTAAAGTAGTTGTGGGATATAGTGCACACAAAATAGAACCAACTCTAAGCTAGTTGTGGGATATAGTGCACACAAAATAGAACCAACTCTAAGTTAGTTGTGGGATATAGTGCACACAAAATAGAACCAACTCTAAGTTAGTTGTGGGATATAGTGCACACAAAATAGAACCAACTCTAAGCTATTTGTGGGATATAGTGCACACAAAATAGAACCAACTCTAAGCTAGTTGTGGGATATAGTGCACACAAAATAGAACCAACTCTAAGCTAGTTGTGGGTAAGTGCGTGTGTAGATTCCCCGTTGTCATGGCGACTGGTGCTACTGTTAGTTTGACGAACGTGTACTCAGCGGAAAAAGGACTTGTAGTTTTCAAAACGATTTCTGGAAACTACAAACTGCAGTACTACGTGGATCTACAATGTAGCACAGCAAGTAGAAGTAGCACAATGTAAAGATGTTGTATTCTACGTTGAAATCTCACATTTTGTTACGACTAAGTTATTGACGGTATTCTGATTTTAAGATAGGAAACTAGGGACAGGGATTAGAAAGAAGTGAGAAAGTGACTACTAGTCACTGTGTTGAAGTAGCACTGCTACATTACATTACCAAGTATAGTATACGTACATTTCATTGAGTAAGAAATAGTGATGATAGTTAGTGTTCTTTTGCTTGAAATGAAATGTTAAATTTAGATTGATTCCACTGCTGAGGCAGTATAAAGGTATAAGGTGGTGTTGCTATGGCTACATTATTAGGCTATATTGACCCTCAAAGGGGCGTGAAGCTCGGCGCTGTAGAGTGCAGGTTATATTGACCCTTCTCCCTCGGCGCTCTTAATTTCAGTAACTCTAGCTAGCAGTAGCTCTCAGTAACTCCTTATATGGGTATCAGGTGTTCTTATACCAGTGGTTCTGGAATGTACAGTAGAAATAGGGCGTATCAACACATCTTATATGGTAATAGGGTGTTGCTATGGTAATAGGGTGTTGCTATGGTAATAGGGTGTTGCTATGGTAATAGGGTGTTGCTATGGTAATAGGGTGTTGCTATGATAATAGGGTGTTGCTATGGTAATAGGGTGTTGCTATGGTAATAGGGTGTTGCTATGGTAATAGGGTGTTGCTATGATAATAGGGTGTTGCTAT